TATATTAATTTCATAGAAAAACCCTTCTCATTTTTTGTGAATAAAATGTGAAAAAATTGTTCTCCAGATTGTGGCTGGGCTGTTGGACACGTTGGTGTTTCAATTTTGATGGCACAGGTTTCCGTGATGGAGTTGCTTTCATAGGAAAAGTTTTGATTGTGGGACCCAAGGGTCTCATGCCCCCTAAACTTTTAAAATATAATCATTTAGGTCTATTTTTATATTTATCAGTTTTATCCTTAACATCTCGTGTTAGATTTGTCTATTTCTCAATCATTTTTTCCCTTTGCCTTCCCTAAAGATATTTTCTAGCTCCAATACTACTGTTGGGGCAGTAATCTTCTCAATTATTGATTTTATAGTTTATTTAGAAATGAACACTAAAATGAAAGTAGAGTTTATCATTTAATATAATTAAGGTCCTCTATTTAGATTAAAAGAAAGCTTAAAGAGTGCTATGTTTTCGTTTTAGTAATTTGGTGTATGTTTCCGTACTTGTGTGTTGATGAGGATATTATTCATTTGGGTTAAGAGGGCAATTTCTTCTCTGCATGCTACAAGTGGTGGGGTATCACAACAGTCACACAAGAAGGGGGATGGGAGCATTTTATGCAACATGTAGAATTAGCTCCTAATGGCAAATTACAAGCAGCATGGAACATGATCGGGTTTGCAATCATCTGGTCAATATGGTTATGGAGAAATCAAAAGGTCTTTAAAGAAGGACAAGGCACAGAGGACGCAGTGATTGAATTGATTAAGTTCAGGTCCTTCAATTGGCTAAAGGCGAAGATTAAAACTGGGATTCAGTATGATATCTGGTACAACTCCCCTAAACAGGCTCTATCATAGTGGGTGAGCTGTCCATTGACCAGGTAATTAGGAATTAACTACTTGAATGTATGTATTTTAGAGACTAATGTGCTTAAACCGTTCATTTCATGAGATGTTTTAAGTAATATAATGGGTAGGAGTTCTCCTTGTATTCCATTATAAATAAAAATAAATTGCTGATAAAAAAAAAAAAAAAAAAAAAATAAAAATAAATTGCTGATAAAAAAAATAAAAAAAAAAAGAGGGCAATTTCTTTGTAGGTATAGAGTTTTTGTTGTGATTATGTATTGGATTGATTTTGTTGCAAGTGATAATGAAGCACCCTTTTTTTCATTGGTCATAGATCGTTGGGGTATCGGTTGTAATCTCATAAACTAATTAAAGTTTTTAGTTCGCTCATAAAAATTTAAAAAAAAAAAAAACAATTCATGAATCTTCCTTGTTAGGGAATTATTTTCTAACATTTGACTTCAACAAATTCATTTTCAAAAGTTTTCCTAACAAGAAAATTGACTCTGCCTAAAACCCGTGCAGTGACTATCCAAAATTGACTTCAAACTCACATGAAGATGGCTTTTCCCTAGCCCTTTGTTTGGTTGAATGTGCATCTCCCATGCCGGTTGGATTCCATTTCCCACCCTAAAATTTATACTTGTTCAAAGAAAAAAAAAAGTGTAAAAAACTCACATGAATTGAAGACGAAATATTGGCGTACCAAATCAATTATTTATAGAGAAAGGTGTTTTTAATTAAGTATGATTTTTTTTTATACAGAGTGTTAAAATTATTAAATTATTATTAATAAATTA